AAAAGTGCAGGGTAAGAAAAGTGCACCCCCCTGTGGCCTACAGCAGGCATCTTTGACATCTATTTGTAAGGGATTTCAGAGACTCAGATTTTCATTTTGAGTTAGAATAACAGATCAGCAGATGGCTCAAAGTCAAGGTATCAGCTCCATAAGGGTGTACTTTTTTTACCCTGTACTTTTCCCCCAACTTACCCCTCATGAATTTGTAATGGTAATGTTTGCCATTAGTCGGTCTTGAGTGACAGAGTACGAAATTAATCCATTCCCTTTTCGAGTCGAGGATCGCACTCGGAGGACACGTGTGGCCTGCGACCAAGAAGATTCAGCAGCACACCAACACGATTGCAGCAATAAGAAAACGGCACACCGATGATCATTATCAGGAGACACTGCAGGATGAAAAGTATTGCTGAGACTCTTAGCTGCGTCATGACACGCACTGTTAAAAATTATCGTAAATTTGCGTCGTTTTTAAACGACATATTTTGTTACGACTCAAGTCGTAAATATACGACTTGAGTCGTAAAGGTACGACATATTTGTCGCTAATTTTTATAGCGACACGTTTCGTTTTAAAACGAATTAAGTCGTAAATTTACGACTTAATCGTAAGTTTACGAACAATCGTAAATTATCTTTGGAATATGTCGTGCAGTTATGACTTCAGTCGTACATTTACGACTCTTGTCGTAAATTTGTGTTTTGAATCGTAAATGACGACACAAATCGTAACTAAGTAAGCAAAATTGTAACTTTTCACCAACTTTTCGGGGATTTCAGGTGTCAAAATATGTGATCGTGATTACGACATTGTCGTAGAGAAATGATATTTTAGTCGTTCAGTTACGACGAAGTAGTTTAAGGACGATTTCCGTCGCTATGAAAATTAGCGACTTTTTTGTCGCTAATTTACGACAGAATTTCTAACAGTGCGGGGACCTAGCCTGCCAGAGGAGTCACAGAAAAAAGTTGGAACGTTTTGCGAAGAAATAACACTACTTTTTCTAAGTCTCTGTAACGAGAAGTTTCAGTGTCGTTGAGCCTTTTTAAGCAATTTTCGTCCAACCTTCCAAACACCCACCGTGAAAATCTGCAAGTGAACCGTGAATATTCATTTCAATTTGGTTTGAAATACATACATTCTCAGGGTAACATCGCTGAAAGTAAAACATTAATTTTATTTTCCTTTTATGTTGCAGGTGAAAGGAGATCGAGACCCAGCGTCCCACAGGAAGACCTGCTCAAGGAAAGAAGGGGAGAAAAAATGTACTTTTGCGTTTAAGGCCATGAGTCCATTTCTCGTCATTTTTCGCGATCATCCGACAATTGCTTAACGCAAGAATTTGGATCTTTTAATAGATACTGAGAATAAAACCGCTCTCATCGCTTGCGATAATTTGTTCCTTTTGAGCTCTGTAAAGGAAAACGATGGTACATTGTTAATAAGCACCTAATAAAGCATATGTGTTCATTGGATTTAATCCGTATTACACAGTTTTTCGTGTCCGTAACGTATAAACAAAAGAAAGTACGGACGAGGAAATCTTTGCAATAAGGACGAAATAATTCTTATTGCAAGCTAATTCAACCGAATACGGACACTGTGGCAAAAAGCTACGGAAAATTCTGTATACAGCTTATGGCAATTCTCCGCGTAACCCCTTTGTCAATATTCCCCGTAGGACCTTACAGTGATCAGGTCCTACGGAGAAGACTGTACCGTCCTACGGACGATACTGTAAGAGCCTACGGAGAATATTGATAAAAGAGCTCGGAGAATCTCAGCAAAAAATTTAACAGAATTTTCCGTACCTTTTTGCCACAGTGAATGATTGCACAAAACTGCCCGTAGTACGGACAGGTGTATCCGTAAGAAGTTTAGTGAGCATAGCAGAAATCCTGCACATTCCAAACACATTCACGCCTTCACGCCATCATTGTACATAAAATGAAAGACCATCTCCGACAGCATTGAGGAAAGAATTCAGAACGCAGTTGGTTGGGCACGAACACTTGGGCCCGCAGTCCACGTAGATCACTCTCAGGTGACATCTCGCCGCATCTCGCGGAAACGTGTCATAAAATGTCACGCTTTTTTGAGCATAGCCTCACGCGCGTGACGTTTTGTCACGACCCTGGAATGAGGGTGAACTTTTCGCTTAGACAGCGACACCACTGGACTTCAGGAAACACCGATGAACCACGATTCACTTTGTCCACTTGAAGTCATTCAAAATTGCTTCAATTTCATTCGAACGTCTTAAGAAGCTGTTCAAAGTTCAACAACACTGATGAGCAAATTTCGGGTCTCTGGCAGTAGAGTGACTTGTAGAATCGACGCACTACCCAAAGAGAGAAGTGCCGTTGGTTTGAAGGACGCGCAACGAGATCACGCACAGACGTTCTGCATATTTTAAGACAGAATTCAGGGTTCTCTCTCCAAAACTGTGGCGACGGGCTCCTGTGACTTGCGAGGCGGCTGGTTGACACTTCTATTGAACACTCTCAATCTCGTTTTGACTTGTCTTTGTTGACAGTGCTAAAGAGAATTCAGAAACGTACAGACTTTAAATTGACACAAGTGTCCTTCAGATGGAACTTGATCGGTCTTTGAATTACCGTCGGAGCTACAGTCTTCTTTTCTTTGCACATGTGAGACGCTAAAGCTACACTCTTAAAACCTTACGAAGTATTATGAGCATACATATAACAAACTAAAATACTTTGTTATACGAAGAAATAGTTCGTAAATTACGAAGTATTTACTTTGTAAGCTTATGTATGCTCAAAATACTTTGTTATACAAACTACTTTTCTTTGTAAGGCCCAAAATAGTTTGTAAGGTTTTCTCAGTGTAAAGCACAACATTTTTAAAAATTGTTTCCATACTTTTTTTGTTTAAATATTATATTTACTAACTTCTCTTCACTGTGTTCGGAAATGTCAACAGCTCCATTGAAAATTTAAAAACCGAAGAAAGGAAGGCGAAGTGATGTCGACATTAGGTATTTCAGTTAGCTTTAGCCATTTTGATAAAAAGAGTCGTCAAAGATGAGTCAGCGAGTGAGACTTACATGCTCGGCATAATCTGACCTCCTGCGGCACGGCCGTACACACTGAAAACTCAAAATACTTTTACTTCGAAATGAATTCAGCCGGTTTCTTCCACGGCGATCAAAGTGTTCTCGTCTTCCCTGCCGCGTTGTCGCCGTGCGTCCTTGCGTGCTGCAGTATGCCGGGCCGCAGTCCTCGCTCCGTCTCTCTCGCACCCCAAAAGGCGCACTCCTTGAGTGCGAGAGAGACCGAGCGACGTGAGCGCGGCGGGCGGCGCGACGTGTGTCGTCGCGGCGGCGGTTGAGGGTGAAGTGCGCGAGCTGCTGCCACACTGTTGGCGCCTCGCTCCTGTTGCCGCGTGGTTGCGTTGCGTGCCTCGCGGCGTCGCGCGGCCAACGTGCATCTTTGATGCGGCGCGTGCGAGTGCATTATGGAGGCCGCGACACGACACGATCAGTGGGGCGGCAGAGCACACTGTGCGTCAAGTCCGCGCCACTGACAGCAAGCCGAGGCTAGGGACGCCACGACGGTGAGCAGACAGAAGCTCCAGACAAAACATAAGAAAAAATAGCTCAGTAGAAGCCATCTTTTTCGGAAGGAAATTTCTCGTAACAGTGTCCAGAGCTCTTCGAGCTTATTTAAAATGTGAAATAGACTCCACCAGCAAATTATTGTGTTTTGCTGGATAGTTTTTGTCTGGAGCTTCTCGATGCGTTCATGTAGTAAGCGTCATTGACGAGATATTCATTCAAAGCCGTCTGTTTTGCTAGACCCTAAATATCCTTAACATTCCCCGTGACCATCTCCTGCTGACAGTCTGTAGAACTCAAACCGTGAATATCAGAGAAAGTTTTCAGAATTTCAGCTTTTAGAGGTGTGCGAATTTTGATCAGGATTTCAGTCATGTTTCTGACATTCTGACAAAAATTAAACGAGTGCCCCGAAATGGAACAGAGTAGTTGAATTGTGTTCTAAAGTGAAGTTACTTGTTCACAGCCGTCAAGGTATGGCGCTCGGCACATCCCTGGGAGAATGGGCGTGGATAATGCAGAGGGAGACGCCTCTTACAAAGCGACAGAAACTTTTTCATTTCATTACCACGGCTAAGGTGAGACAATCGGCAGGTATAAACTTTTTGAATCTTGAATGTTATCGTTTGCAAATGATAAAAGACCCGCCGGTTTGTTGTTATGCAGAGCTTTTCGTAATGAACAATTCTGTTATTCAATATGCTAGTTTGCTTGCAACAAAATTGTTACCCTGTTGCTCCGAGCCAAGATTCGAAGCGCTCCAACCTACCGTTAACACTCATCTTCAATTTTTACAAAACACTCCCTTTCGGATAAATGACCCTCCCCTCCGCCCTCCGAATAATCCTTCTCATTGTGAAGCAATGCTATTGCGTGATTCATTGCAGACCTACCTTTAGCCTTTCATTTATTCGTATTAATAGGAAGCAGCTCCACGGGATATGATAATGGAAATATTTAAAATAGTGCAAAAAATCGTTGATAACGTTTGTACGCTGCGTTAACAGAGACCTAGGCGCGGAACCCAAAATTTTTTATCTAACAAAGAAGATTGCTACAGGAGCGAAAGGACTATAGGACAAACAATATATTTTGTCCATGCCTCACTGGTAAAACTAGAGCGTAGTACTACCCTCTGTTTTCAAGCGTAATCCGGTTACGCTTGAAATCAAGCGTAAAAAGGCTCATCCGCCAAGATTCTCCCTATTTAAATGCATGGGGGCATTCCCAGAGCATGCTTTATTTCAAGCGTAACGTGTTGAAGCGTGACGTCTATGCTTGACTCAAGCATAGAGTTACGCTTTAGTTTTACCAGTGCTGGCGTTGTCTCCACTCAAAAGAGACATACATATTTGACGACAACCTCTTGGGCTGCTCAGGTATCACGCGCGGTGGTGGTTGCGATGGGCACACTGTTTGTGCTCGGGACTACTCGGGTCAGCAGTCTCCCAGAGGCATCTTGCCCTGTCTGCTTCGCCACAGGTCTCTACGGATGCATGACTGCTCAGGTGTGTGAACCCGGTCAACTCCTGAGAAAGTGTTTAAATGTGAAACTTCGATGCATTAAAAAAATGGAATGGTGGGTTACCGTACTTGATCGCTTTAACCGGCCGTGTGCTCTAAAAGAGTGTACATAGTATGCTCCAACTGGAGCATGCTTGCAAGCACGCTCTAACTAGCGCATGCATGCCATGGACACGCTAACTGAAACATACATTTAGTGCATAAGGGATAGGGAATAGTATGCATCAGGGAGCGTGTACATGGCATGTGTGCACCAGTAAGTTCATAGCTTCACTGAGAATCCAAACGCTATGAGTATAGCGTCAATTGGTGCAATGCAAAAGCATTGCACATGAAGTGCAATGCCTCCCATTTCCCATGCATTAGCATGGGGCCTTTTCGGGAAGCATTGCACCAAAGGTGCAATATGGCTGTGGCATTGCACGTATGGTGCGATGTCACAGCGCATTGCACCATACGTGCTATACTCATAGCGTTTGGAATCTCAGTGTTGGCAGGCATGCGCTATCTCGAGCGTGTTTGCAGGCATGCTCCAGTTAGAGCATACTATGTGCACTCTTTTATTTGTAGAGGGCACTTTTTGGTGGGTGAATTTTATTTCGGAGAAAAGAAAAAGTTCACAAAACTTAGGTGAGAAAATGCCTGCAGGAGGTAACTCAAATTTTTATTTCAATACATATAGCCGATCTAATGTGAACAGAGTGAACTCAACTTCTTCTGCCGATGATGGACAGGCAGCTCACGAAAAGAGGGGGGTCTTCACTCATGATTTCTGCCAACGGAGTAACGTGCGCAATTGGACGTATTGGTTGTATCATGCACATGACTTATTACGTGACCATCAATGTCCGTCAGTACGCGTTTGTGGTGTTATCACGCAATAATGCCGAAAATGCGTGTCATTGCGTGCATGACCTCTGGAGTAATTGGAGAGTGATAAAGGCCCCTCGCGCTGGTGAATACTCTAGATTGAATACTCTTGACTTGAATTCCTCATGCGCAGTCCCAGGCTTTCCTCTAAAAGTTCGAAAAGAATAAAGGTGGCTATGTTTGCCTGCGTCTGACTGGACGTTAATTATGAAGTTATCAGAAGCCCATACTACTGTATGACGTGACTCTTTAAACATTTACTCAGCTTTCAATCATCTTTCTTTCATTACATCCTCGTGCAACATTCATTTCCCTGGATTTAGTTTTCTCTGCTGACAGTAACTATGCTTCAAATGTCACAAATTGAGTTGCCTCCTTCCGCTTCATGGATCATTTAACCACCCAGGAAAGGGTATGGGTCCTCTTTTTTAAAAGGTGAGCGAGGAACAGGTAAATTTTCCTCACGTTTTTTACTGTGATTTCCCGACGAAACAAATTTTAGCTTGTATACACGGGTGATTCCGTGCGTAGGGGGTCATTTTGGATGTACCAAATGTTCTTTTTTAAAGTTCAACTTTAGGGGCTAAATTTGGTGTAGATGGCATACATAGTACCCCACAGTACCCCTCTGAGCGTGGCAGCGCTACAAGTTGACTTTTATTTTCACTCCCTATGAAATACGGCGGAATTTACAGAAATAATGACGGAATTTACAGATTACGGAATTTACAAAGCGAAGTTTTTAGTCTCCTGAACCGCTGGGTTACAAGATAGGTAAAAACTGTTGACGGTGTCATTTTCAGCATCCAAAATAGCATTTTTCAGCGAAGGTTGTGGGAACTTCCTCCCTCAGATGGAGGAGCTACGGCCCGAAACGGAATTTACATCAATTTTTACACCCTTACCGTTTTGAACTCTTCTGACGGCCTGGAAGAGTCGTTTGACCGCCCCAGGTCCCGTGGGCACGGGCTTCTGGAAGTGTTTTTTATGTTCTTTCGATCCCAAGTGGTCGCGAGTTTCTAAAATGAAAAGGAACCCCAGTAGACCGTCATTTGTAAAAACAGCATAGGTCACATGGTCACACGGTGGACATTTTCCCAAAGGCTGTTTCGGGTTCAACAAGTGATGATACAAAGGTCACCCTCCGTAATTTTGTGAAGAATAAGTCAGGGGAGAGAGTGAAATAGCCAGTTTTCTTTTGATGTGGCTGAATCATATTCTACAGCATGGCAATGTTGTCTTATAGGTGTTGGTGACCATGACGGAACTTACAAAACGACACTTTAGCAGCTTACGAAACCCAGATAAACAAAAGTTAGATCGACTTATCCACATGAGGACATGGTCTTCGTTTAGTAAAACAAATTTGAACTGCCCAAGCTACCAAATGAACCTCAGTTCAGGCGCAAGGCCCCGGTGACCTGAAATGACCCCCTACGCACGGAATCACTCACACGCCAAAATTACTGTGTAATGTTTTTTTTTTTAGTGAAAAGTGTTGTACACGGAATGGACCCTACAAGGGACCCTACTTTTTGGAATGCACGAATGTGAGCGTAGCGAAGCACGAAAATGTGTATCTTTATGCTGCACCTTGAGCGTTGATGCCTACGAATCTGTGCGTAACAGCGTATGCTCAATTTTTTCTACAATCTCTGCAGGAGAAAATTTTAATTTAGTGTGTATAACAAGGTGGTGTCTTTTTGTCCTTGACACATCCATGACGCTCAGACCGTCTTTCGCGTGCGTGGCGGCCACCTGAGAAAGCTCGTTCTTGACACTGCGTCCATCGTCGCGGACATCGAGTCGGGCTGCTGCGAGGAGAGTCAGGTAGAGTTGGTACCGATGCACACTGTAAAAATACCGTACTTTGATTTGGAAAATGTACATATAGAAGAGTTCAGTACGGAACGTCCCTACTTATTCCATATGAAATTATGCAAATGGTTACGAAAAACAAGACGGACGCGACCAGACTTGTTCCGTTCTTTTTCCACCCAGTGCAGCTCTATTTCTACTTCAAACTTACCCATTACTGTTGGTGCCATCAGTATACTTTCACCGCACTGCGCGTCTGGTGACGCAGTCCAAGTCAGCTGAGTGGAGTTTTTCAAATTAGGTTTAACCAGGCCAACATTTGTGTGCAGCGCAGGCGTGTCTGGCACGAGCGAGACGAGCTGACTCTATCATGAGAACACAAAACATGGTCTTGGGTGGCTTCCTCCTCCTCAGCATTCTTCTAAAAGTTATCTTTACTGGGCGCAGCTTCGACACTGTCTGGCCGAAGCCACCAGGTAAGGCGCTCTTTAAAAGATTGCACGTTCGAATTATTGATTGCCATCTATGTTGGACTTTGCTGCACCATGGTGAAATGATTTACGCGTATGTCGAGCGGAAATGATTTAAGTTGTTTATTTGATCGAAATTATTACCTGGGAGAATGCTGGTAGTAGTGCGAGGGCTAGTCTGTCGGTGAATCTGAAGTGGTGGAATTATTACAGCATCGTGGGTTCGCGTAATGTTATTTCAGCCCTTAACTGACGGGGAAAGAGTGAATTCAGGTCGCCTTTTTCAAGCTTCTTCGATAGTCGTAGAGCTTCGCTTTTTCTCTGCAAAAATATGAATAGCATCTCTGGTGGGGGTATGAATGGGATATCTTTACCCACTCATAACTGGAATACTTATGGAAAGAACGAGTCAGTTTTTAACAACTTGATATTAATTTTCTTCTCGTCCCAATAATTTTGTGTGCCACAGGAGAGTGGGGCGAGTTGAGCGTCGGTTTGCTGCAGCTGGGGTCGGCGATGTTTGGCACGAGTACGTACTACATCATGTGTGCTCTCGTGGGCTGCCTAGGAATCTGGATCGCAGGCATGTACCGCGCGCTGGCCGTTCAATTTAAAGCGGCACGGTCCAAGGACGAGGTAAACAAGCTAGGGCCCGCCCTTCCGTCAAACCGAGTTGCCAGCTCCGCTTCGCTGCGCCGGCAACTCGGTTCGACAGGGGGCCGGCCCAGCTTGGCCTGCCGGCGGCCTTTTGTCAGGCCTTCGGCCCTCGCATCAGACCCAAGTTGGCCAGTCGAAGGCCCGGGCCTTCGGCCCGCTCGCATCACACACACCGTGAGCGGGTAAAGCAAAGTTATCGATGTACCATCGTGACTTAGGCCCGCCCTTCTATTCACAATATGCAATAACCCTTACACTATTTACTCCAACTGTCCTTAGAATATGCCTATTTCATTTGTCTCTTCGCCCTCATTCCGAAAATACCCATATTTGCCATGCTACTGCAACTCCTTGCAATAGAGGCACAGCAGGAGCGCAAAACGAGTCCGTCGCACTTTTCCCCATAACTCATGAAGGCGGGCTCCTGGACCCCCCTTCCGACCCCTCGTTGAAGAGGTCTTGCCAAGACCTATCCAAAACTTAAAGTAGTACATCAGTTACAAAAAAAGTTTTAAAAAAGTTCCCCATTTGATCCATATCGATAGAAAATCATGCGCTGAAGTCAGTGTTACCAAACAAAATGCTCCTTCCTGAACTCGTTTCTGAGATAAATGCAGTCAAAGTTGGGATTTTTAACATGGGTCTTATGGGGAATGGGTCTAAAAAATATGCTAACGTTTACTTTTGGCACATAAGGAGTAATAAGAAGGCAATGAAAAACTATAGTTAGATAAAAAACACTTCATAGAATCAAAATCCTTTCAGAAAAACGGGGCTCCCTGTCCATTGATGTGAACTACAGAACAAAGAATGTCCGAAAAATGCCCTCTTTTGGGTCAAAACGCGACTTTGGCCGTTTTCATAGTTGAATTGATCAAAACCCTGTAGGGTTACATCAAAATTCCATATAACTTAAAACAGAGTTTGGAGCTTTATCTGTAACTTGATGCAAAGCGCAGAGCATTACGACAAATTTCAATTTCAAAAATTTTTGGCGGGAAGCCCTAGCTGATGTACTACTTTAAGTAAAAATTTTCAGTCGGTCGACCCCCTTTTTTGAAGATCCTGATGTGACTAATAGACGAAGTCGGGCTCCTGGACCCCCTTTCCGACCCCTCGTTGAAAAGGTCTTGCTGAGACCAATCGAAATCTGCAATAAATTTTTTTAGTCGGTCGACCCCCTTTTTTGAAGATCCTGATCTGGCCAACTTGTAATAGCGGCCGATGGGGTCGGGACCAGGTCCATTCATCTTGTCTCGTCGCCCCGATTCCAAAAATACCCCTATGTGCCCTGCTAGCACCAATAATGGCGGAAATCCCCCTCCCGCTCATGTAAACCATGATGCACCTGCAGCAGCCCTTGTGCGACCCGGACGGGATTTGCACCACCGGATTATTTGTTTGGACGGTACTCCTGAAGTACCCTCCAAATCTGGTTACTCTAGCTCAACTCCTTCCTTGTACACAGACGCCAACAACAACAACAACAACAACAACAACGACAACAACACACAGACACAAAGGCAAATGCATAGGCCCTCCCCCTATTTTTTGAATAGAAGGGCGGGCCAAAAACATCAAATGAATGCAGCTAATGCAACAAAAGTCGTGGGGTGAATCACTAGCCCACCCAGAATTGGTCTTCGAAACGACGTTGATTCGACGTAGAATCTATGAAAAATCCATCGATTCTACGTCGAACCAATGTCGTTTCGAACACCTAGTTCTGGCTGGGAGTTTACTCGTGTGTTCAAATTAGCCCGTACTTAGTGTATTCACAAGTTTAAAAAAAGGGCTGAATTCGTAATTTTTTTTTGCACAATTTGGCATTGAATGTCGTTTAAAACGCGAAATAAAGCCTAAAAACGTTTATAATTATTTTGTTTTGTTTTGTAAGGTGTACTCACCCGCACTCATGCACTCATGTGTACACGAGAACCCTGAGTGATTCACCCCACCCCTCGACAAGAGCAGTTACACTGGCAGTCGAAGTGTGAGACATCTGATCAGTTTTCTGTGATGAAAAAGTATTATGAAAGATCATACACAGAAGCATGACCGAACTCAGACACCAGTAGACTAGTTAAGTGGAATACCTCACCCTTTCGATTTTTAGTGTAACAAATTATTTGACGTCACCAACGAACATTTTTAAATCTTGTACTTCAACCCCAACTTGTTTTGTTTTTTCCTGTGTGACGTGTGTTGTAACACATTTTCTTGATTCAAAATTTCTTACAGTGAATTTGGCGATAGCGTACAAAGAAATTTGTGCAAACATAATATGAACTAAATTTGTTTATGTAACACATCTTTCTTTGGCTTTTTGTAAGGTGACTAAATACTTCATATCATGACACTATGATAAGTTTGCACAAAAATCTTCGCATCACAAAGACATGGTGTCAGTTTCCCTCGTAGGACTTTGAGTGTTGTTCCTTCGTCAACTTCCTTGACTGTATTAGATTATGGGGCTGGTCAAGCTGCACCAACGTCTTCAGAAGCACGCACGCGCCACGGAGGTCCTCTTCGCCGATGTCCTCATGCATCTGTTCCTGTGTTGTTTCGTGTGCCCTCTGACGAGCACGATAGATGTAAGAGACATGTATACTGGAACATCAGGTGCCAAGCCAGGTTAATACTGGAGGGTCCTGGGCTCTGTCTTCAACCTCCAGGTCTTGCTTGGCGAAATCACCGCCATGACCTTCAGCTCCGCGCCGCTGATAGTGTCGGTGTTCCTTCCGTTCTCTCACATCAGTCAGGAACTCATCGATTCCAGCACAGCCATCGGAAGCGCAGCGTTCTGGGCAGCGTTTGAGTCAGATCAGAGACAGACGCAGGTCAGTGCTGACTGGAAACATCCAGCTACACGTGTGAAAATTTGTTGCAACTTTTTGACAAAATCGATGACAAAATTTGGTGACATTTTCATTAAAGTCCCTATACTTATTGCTTAGGCGTGACAAACAATCAATAGTTTTGATGACATCCTTGTGAGGGTAATTAGCCTTGGAGCTGTCAAGAAGTGACAACTCAAATTTTCACAGTGTAAGGTCGAAAGATCCGTTTTCACGTCAGAGCAAAGTTGATGGTGGGGCCTGAGTTATGAAATTGAGGTTTATATCACTGCTCGTGATAAGGAGAGTCCAATAAACCATTTCTAGTCGTGGCCGAATGAAAAACAAAAAGAATCACAGAAGACAAACTTTTTAGCACTTTTACTTTAAATATTCAGGGTTTTTTGCTTGGTAGAAGTTAGTGAGAATACACACTAAATTGCTACATATGTAGGTTTTTCTGCGCGCCAATGCACGAAATCAAACATGCACTTCGTAATGTACGAAATTATGCGCGACAATGCACGATTTTCTGCATACTCGGGCACGAAATCGTGCATTATCGCGCACAAATTTGACATTTTACAGTAAATACAACATATTTTCAGTGAACGTATGCACTCGAAATGCCCTAAATGAGTCTTTTGTGATTCTTCTTGTTCTTCACCCAGCCACGACTAGAAATGGTCTAAGGAATTTTGAATATGGAGCGCGTCAGAGGGTCGCCATTTTCAGGAGGATCTTTTCGTCCGGCGTGCTCTTCTGCTGACCATAGTCTCTTCACGGCGGCCCGCCCAACTGAGCTGCAGAGGGCTGGGCCCGCTCAGCCTGGGCGCCGCGGCCAACGCCCTGCGCACTTGGTATTCACTGGTCAACATGGTCATCGGATCCGGCAGGAATATCAAAGTGCACTAAGTGTGTAGACAGCGAGTGAAGCGGACAGCACCCAACAGTGGGCCAGAACCCCCAGAAAAATGGTTTCTTAATTTTAAATTTTCTTGGTTTTCGTAAGAAAAAAAAATCTAGGCACAAGAAAAATTTTCATCATTCAAAAAAAAAAAAAATTGGATTCCGAAAAAAATTCTTGCAAAAACCTAGAAAAATTAAGCTTTTCTTGATCCAAGAAGTCACTTTTTGGGGTGAAGACCGGCGGAGGCTCATGACGCCTTTTGAGCTTCTGAGTCGCTAAATAGGTCTCGGAGAGAGCGTGTGGCCCGTCTAATGGATTCCTCGTTCGGAAAGCAATCCATTAGTGGGGTCAAGCGTTCGGTTCGAGTCAAAGACAAGACAACGAAGAATTAAGTGCCACCACCTTTCTGGTGGCTCTTGCTCCTAGGGCTAGAGGCTCGTCACTGTGCTAATAAATCAGAATATTTAGAAGCGATTGAGTTATTCAATTTAAACCATTTACCATTTTGCTCTGCAAACACCAAACTGAATCGAGGAAGGTCGTGCTGTGGATTAGCACCATCCAAAGTAACGTTTTTCCGCGTTTTTCACATTCATAAAGACGTGATATCAAAAATTCGTTGAATTCTGGTGACGTCGGATGGACGCTGGCTTTGAGACGCCTCACGGGCGGTGGCGGTGTTGAGCGGGGATCCCCCTTTGGCGCGGGGCGTGGCGGTAAGCAGGGGTTCCCCGTTTCGAGCGGGGCCTCGTCCCGGCCCTGATGGCAAGGCGCAGCATGACCATCACCAGCATATATACGGTGGTAACAGCCGACCGGAGGCATACAGGACTTTTTGGACATCAGGGCAACACCTCAGCAGCACCGAGTTCTCCGCATTTGGAAAAACAGTGTGGCCACCATGTACAGCTTCACCCCGTGAGTACTCAAGGATCAAGGCAACCCGACCAGCTCTATGCCGTTGCACGACCCACGTCCGAACGAATGTGCACTGCAGGCCCACTGTAATTCAAAGGGTGAGACGTCTCACCAATTTTTGACGATACAAAATGTATCACCGAAAAAAGGGTCGTACACGAATGTATCACCGAAAAAATGGTCGTACACGCATGTATCACCGAAAAAAAGGTCGTACACAAATGTATCACCGACAAAAAGGTGAGACATCAGCGAGATTGACCTTTGTTTTCCTGGGGAAGTATCACCCTTTTTTCAGTGATACGTTTGTGTACGACCTTTTTTCCGGTGATACATTTGTGTACGACCCTTTTTCCGGTGATACATGTTAGTATCACCGTTTTTTCGGTGAGACGGTTTTGTCTCACCCCTCGAGTGAGATGTATCACTATTTGATTTTCAGTGGGAAATAACCACAACTAAAGTACACAAATTTATGGCAAATTTTTTATCAGGAATTTAGTGTCCTTTTCAAGTACAACAATTGTTGTACAAAGTACAATGGAACCGGCATGACGAGTGCTGTGCAGTCCAGGGCTCGTTGTGGTTTGTACAATTCTCGTTGTACTTTCTACAATCCCTGTTGTACTTTTATTGTACAGTTTTTGTTGTACTTTTGTTGTACTATCCACACTTTTCTTGCAGTGTGTCCAATTCTTGAAATACCAGTGCAAAGAATTCCCAGGGAATTTTCTAAATAGATTAGTTAGGACCGACGAGAGATCGAGGGGTGAATCACTCAGCGTTGTACACATGAGTAGGTGAGTACGCCTGATAATACTCATAAACTCAGCAGATTGTAAACGTTTTTACGCCTTTTTGGTGTTTTAAACGCAAAGAAAGTATCCTCTATAAATTTGGTTATTTACGCTCCTCTAAAACTTGTGAGTACAATGAGTACGGACTGATGTGAACGCATAGGGACACTAGTGATTCACCCCTCGCGGGAGAGAACCATACAACATGGCCAATATTTTCTGGTCATGTGAACGTGGATTGAAACGAGTTTTTCATACCAAAATATGACACTGTTTACATTCTATAAAGATAGTGTCACGTTCGGGTATGCCTACTCGTTTAAATCTGCGTGACGTATGTCCTCTGCAATTATTGACGAACACACTAAGTTACTATGCAGGTTTTTCTGCGCGCCAATGCACGAAATTACACACATGCTTTTCGTAACGTACGAATTTGTGCGCGACAATGCACGATTTCGTGCGCAAGTATACAGAAAATGCATTGGTGCGCAAAAAAACCTACATAGTAACTTAGAGTGAAAAGTTTAAAGTACACTATTTAAAAAGTCATAAGAAGTTCTTTTTTAAAAAAAAGTACGTGCTACACTGTGGCAAAAAGGTACGGAAAATTCAGTTAATTGTTTGCCAGGATTCTCCGTAGCCCTCTTATCAACATTCTCCATAGGCTCTTACAGTATTCTCCGTAGGGCCGTACAGTAAGGTAAAAAATCAATTGTGGGTCACGAATCAATTGTGGGTCATTTTTTCGACGTGTCACAGCAGACTCCACGGAGATTGAATCGATTTGAATTTCGCGGTAGACCTTCCTCCAACCTTTCTTTGTCTCCCCAAATAGCGTGTATGTCCGAGCGACGACTGTAACAGCTCATATCAGGCTTCAAAGGAAGGCCCTTCAAAAAGTCGTGAAAAAAGCGCCCATCCAACGAGGCGAAAAATCGTTTGTTTTTCAAATTGCCACCGTGAAGCTATTACGAGGTAAAACGGGACGTCCTTGCTGATTTAGGTTCATAATAGGTCAGGGAACATAAATTTACCAAAGTACAGCCGAAATCATTCGATGCCATGGTGCGCGGGTGATGGCAAAGTAGCGTTCGCTACCATGCCCGACCCATTATTTTTGACGAATTTTGCGGTAGTTTTTCTTATATTTTTTGTTTTCTGCGCTTCTGAATGACTGATGTATCACAGTAAATTCCATTTTTCTGCTCAGTCACATATAGTACTACGATACGAAGGTTGTTAAAGCTTAGGCTACAGCCCCGAATGACAACGCTAGCTCTTACTTCCAGTCCGCCATAAGGCTTTTTTTGTTGGGAAGGGGGCATTGCGGGGCTTACATAGCGCCCGGAATGGGACCGCTCTCTAACTGCAGGCTAGGCACCCGAGGCCAGTCCGGCCCTGTAGGAGTCAAATCAATCCCTACAGACTAAATATTCTGACTGAAATAGATTATAAACTGTAGCAATACCTCACGATGACAGGGTGTGGTGTTGGATTGTCTACCACACCAGCGGCCCTAGAATATGCATTTCGTCTCTAGTCCAGGAAGTTTTACTCACATCTGTCTCACAGTGAAATAAGCCAGTTTATGTCGGTTTATGTATTTTTCCTCTTTGAGTGAAAAACGTGCCTGCTTGGTTTATTGAGAACCAGGGACCTTTTATTAATAAAAATAAGAAAATATCTTGCAAAAGTGGTCGATTTACAAGCAAAAAGACGAAATGGCCCACAATTGATATGACCCAGAATTGATTCATTGTGCTACAGATCCTGCAGTTTTCACGATTCCGAAAAATAAATTCAAAAGTGAATTCCTCTCGCATTTAAGCAAATCATATCCAAATTTGAGCTTTCTACAATGCTGACCCACAACTGGTTCCAAAAATCAATTGTGGGCCAAAACAGACTATTTTTAAAACAGCCACAGCCGAGGGGGTAAACACTCGGGGTTTTGGTGTACAGACTACTCCCTATTACGCGTATTACGGGTATTACGGGTGTATTACGCGTATTACAGGTGTATTACGGGTATTACGTGTGTATTACGGGTATTACATGTGTATTACGGGTATTACATGTGTATTACGGGTATTACAAGTGTATTACGGGTATTACAGGTGTATTACGGGTGTATTACGGTGCGCATGGAATATCAACGGAACAGTTTCTATGTAAAAAAACGTAACTATTACGGACCCAAAAGGCGCGCCAAACACCTATGATACACGTAATTCACCCGTAATACGCGTAATACAACAGTAATACGCGTAATGCACCCGTAATACCCGTAATACACACGTAATACGCGTAATGCACCCGTAATACCCGTAATACAACCGAAATACACGTAATTCACCCGTCATACACGGAAAAGTGTGGGTGATAATGAAAAATTCTGTACCAATTATCTAGGAGGTCATTGTGGGGAGGTTATTTCACAGGGCCCATTGGGAGTATTACGCGCGTATTACAGGGTATTACAGGGTGTTACAGGGTATTACGGGGTATTACAGGGTAGTACAGAGTATTACAGGGTATTACAGGACAGCTTGTACAGGGTATTACACGAGTGTTTACCCCCTCGGCCACAGCTTAGTAAATATGGATGATAGACGGGGCTACTATGCTGCAAAACGTAGTCCAAGGACCATAGTTAAAGGCCCCACATGCACTTTTGTCACCAGGTCAAAATTAAAGGCCTCAATTTGGAATTTTCAAAAATGTGACCCACAATTGATTTTTTACCTTATTCTCCGTAGGACCGCACAGTCTTCTCCGTAGGGCTGCTGAGAGTGTAACGAGCGCTTCGTCACGCTAAAGACCTGTTTCGGTGGCAAATTCCCGGTGGAGCCAACGCGAGCCAACGACACAATAAGTTCAGCAAACGGTTGCTAGCCCGTAATGGTAATGTGGCTTAAGCGCCGTGGTGGTAGGCAACCCATCGGCCGGGCGCGCTTGACGGGGCGCATAATCTGACGGCGCTCCCAGTGGCTCTGCCTGACCGAATAATTCTTCCGTCCAGCCTCGTCCTGCTGGTGCTGACCTTGGCCGTGATGTTGTTCTGCCTGGTCCCCCCGTCCCTCGCCTCGTCCGTCGTCCTGCCCGGCCACGCCATCGAGCCAACAATAGATCAGCGCGGAGAGACGCTTCTGGCGCCCGAGCCTTCGTTTGAAGCCGGTAATTTCAAGTCGCGGGCAAAAAAAATCATTGAATGTTAAGTGTTTACACAGTAAAGGGCCCACGAAGCATCGCTTCGTAATACGAAAGAAAAGGCAGACTTAAGAAAATGTACGGAGAAATGGTTTGAATGAAGCAAAGGCCTTCTCAAAACGAAGCATCTCATAAACCATTCTACAACGCGTACACACTGAGGCAAAAAAATACGAAAAATTCTGTTTTTTTCTTTTTTTTTTTTTTGCCAAAATAATCTGTAGCCCTCTTATCAATATTCTCCGTAGGACCGTACAGTCTTCTCCGTAGGACACGGAACACCATATTGTCCTACCGAGAACACTGTTGGGTGCAATAGGAAAGCACTGCTGCAGAGAATATTGACAAGGGGGCTACGGAGAATTACCACAAGCTGTTAACAGAATTTTACGTAGCTTTTTGCCACAGTGCATTTCCTCCGAAGTTATGAAGCAGGTGCTTCGTAACTTAGACTCTTTTGAAGACAAAACTGTATATGTAGCCCTCGTTTTAGTGTTGTGAAATGTGTTTCCCTCGCGGTTTTCTCTGTTTGACAGTGTTTCTGTGTGGGTTACAGGTCGCTCGATCCGTGTCGCTAGGGGACTGGGCAAGCGGCTGAAGAAGATTGGCAAAAAGATTGACCATGGTGTCAGGCATGTTAAAGTTGGAGAAATCGGCTTTGGAATGCCCAAGGGGAAGAACAACTAGTTTTATTGAATTACTGTGAACCACACACACTCACACACACACACACACACACACACACACACACACGCAAAAGTCCCGCAATTTTGTTATGCGTATCTTGGATCACGATTTCTTCAGGTACCTTTTCGTTGTATCCCAAAAAAGGACGAAATTGGCATGAGAGGCACTCGTGATCCATTTCAATTCACGTCTGGGACGAAAATCCATCTCGAGCTACGCGTGACCACTTTGCGTGGCGGTTCCATTTTCCTCGGGACGCAGTTGGCCTGCGGATGTATGTTTGCTATTTACTATTTATACTATTTATTAAACTATTATTTGGTTATTTTTTTTATTATTATTAGTTTCACATCTACATTATTACACTGAAAACTTAAGTGGGAACTCAGGACACACTTGAGTGTTACACACTGAGAAAACCTTACAAATTATTTTAGGCCTTACAAAGAAAAGCATTTTGTTATAACAAAGCATTTTGAGCATACATAAGCTTATAAAGAAAATACTTCGTAAATTACGAACTATTTCCTTCTATAACAAAGTTATTTAGTTTGTACAATGTATGCTCAAAATACTTCGTAAAGTTTTGAGCGTGCAGGACACACTTTAACGCGCTGTACTCAGTGCACACGCAAGGTCTCAGTAAATCTAGCTCATGACAATTCTTTTTATTGTAATTTTGGAATAGTCATAACGTCGACCACAAAGCACATGATGTTTCTCGGCTTCACATCGGTCCCGATGTCGATGCCAACTTCGGTGCGCCACGTCCCGTACGGAAAGATTGGCAACTTGGGGAGAGACCAGTTCACGGGAGTGTCCTCTGCTATGTACACACCCTGCAAAAAAGAGAAGGCGATGTCAAAACACGACACACTGTTGATCTACGAATGTAACGTCATAGTTGATTTGGAATGTGAATTTTGTCACGTTTGTTTGAATATGGTGTCGCATGTCACAATCGTTTCAATCTTCAGCATGAATGTAACTGCATTCAAACGAACTTAATAAGATCTGCATTCCAAGGAATTGGATGTCGGTTGAAGAACTGTTATAAGAATGCCGGCAGTGCAATTCAGATCAACGCACCTTTGGAATGACACACGAGGGATTGCGATGTTCCTCGGGTTCCAACTTGAATATTTTCCGCATGAGGTCTGGCATGTGATCCATGTACGCCTTGCACACGCCACCGGTTAACTTGAGCGTGTACATATTGTCGGTCCACTTGTCCTTGCTTCCGGAGCGGGCCTTCATGTACAGCTGCGCAAAAAGTCAAACTTATTCGCAGGGCAGGACGCACCCGGTCCCATCGGAATTTCACTTTGGGAGAAGTTATGTTTTTTATTTTGTACTTGCGCCAGTATTCTGCGGTTATACTGCATACTCCCAAGGGAAAAAATCCCTAAAGTCCCTAACTAAAGGGATATTTCGCGGCCCCTTGGTATAGGGACGGTCCCCATTGAAGGGCCAGCCCCTATGGATAGGGACAGTCCCCTTGTCAAAGGGCCGCGAAATATCCCTTTGGTAAGGGACGTGCCGCGGAGTGTTCAAGTGTTCAAACATCTGCCCCTTGAGCATCAATGTACAATATAAGAAACGCTTCCTGAGTGAACTTTTGACGCTGATAACAATGGTAGTGTCGCCGACACTCTATCTAAAGCCGTTTACAAGATACCCTTAATAGGTGTGTAGCGGGTTTGCCTACCTAAATCACCCACATTTTGCCTAACTGGCAGGCTGATTTATAGGGCCTTGTGGTCTGGAGGGCGGATCCCCAAGTCCAAAGGGCCAATCCCTAAGCTCATAGGGCCGGTCCCCAAGTCCATAGGGCCGGTCCCTAACTTGATAGGGCCCGGCCCTATGGCAGATAGGGCTGAGCCCCTTCCAAGGGGCCAAGCCCTTTCTCGGATAGGGCTTGGCCCCTTCGGAAAGGGACCGTCCCTTTAAAATCATAGGGATTCTTTCCCTTGGGCTGTGGTACAAATTATATCCTGCGCAGAGTTGCTTTGTAAACTTGCCAAGAAAATGCGTGGCGAGGTTACGAACTAATAACGATTCGGAACGTTAACGAACCATTCTATTGCAACGTCACGAACCGGTGTTTCGCAACGTTGCAAACCGTCGTTTCGGTACGTTTTTTCTTAAAACCTACAAAGTATTTTACAAATTGTTTTTTTTAAACTTACAAACGATTATTTTAAAACGCGATAGTAAAGTTTGCTAAGGTGTTTGCAGTACACACTGCGAGATAATACCACAACAAAAGTACACAAATTACTGGCAAGTTTTTTATCAGGAATTTATTGTACTTTCAAAATACAATGGAACCGGCATGACGAGTGCTGGGCAGTCCGGGCCTCGTTGTGTTTTGTACAATTCTTGTTGTACTTTATACAATCCCTGTTGCACTTTTATTGCACAGTTTTTGTTGTACTTTTGTTGTAAGTTACTATTCACACTTTTTCTTGCAGTGCAAAACCGGACATCACTTCGCACTTCTCTTCTTTGCAAGCTTTCAAGAGTGCCTCCGCGGGCCTCCCAAATCGACTGCGAGGGGGAAATCACTCTTAAAAACTGTGACCCGACTACTCCCTATTACGTTCTATTACGCTATTACAGAAGGCTTATTACGCTTGAAATTATCCATATTTAGGCTATAATCAGACCCTAAATAGGGGACTTTTTTTAAAAAAAAATGGCTATTACGCTATTACTATTACGCGTAATACTAGGAATCGGTGACCCGACTGTTGCGCGAGTGCTCGATCGACTGCTTGTTCTGACTCACGACGCCCTTGTTGGTGAGGGGCACGTCGAGGGTGATGTTGCCCGTCACCCGCTGCAGGGTAGTCTGCGCTTCGACCTTGGGGTTGCGGAACTGTGACACTTGAATCGTCGTGCGGATCAAATTCTCCGACCTGCCGCTGGGGCAGTCCATCCACTGGCGACCGTGAACAGCGATGAACGGTCCCTGCGGCACGGAACGTAATCGGTCAAGATCGAAGATTGTTAGTGCGCGTCGTTGAGAGGGTCAGTTAAGAGAACGGACGGCGAAAGAGTTGGTCCACTTGGCTGGGGCCGCGGAGATGGAGGGGCCACTGCAAAGAAGCGCAAACAGCCACAGCGCCGCCATCGTGAAGACTGCAGTGCACTGGACAGCCGACGTGCCGCATCGTGGGCTGCGTGTTAGTGTCCAAGGTGGCCTTTCAACCGCCTGTCCACCTGTCAACTCTTTGCGCAGTTCGGGCTTGCCTGGAATACAGTGACGAGAGAGGCTGACCCTCAAAATCCTCTGACACTCGTAGATTCTTCGTTGATGCACGTTTCTTTCACGGTAATTTCAGAGGTCAAACGCTGTGTTGGAAGGTGGTTCGCACCTTCGCACACAGGATCGCACACAACCTAATGCCTTTGCACGGTTTTTGTACGTAGTCCTCATTTCAGCGCATGCATGGTTTGAGTTCAAAGTCATTTGAAATCTCGCGCCTGGACCCCTTGGATCCCCAGGGATCCTTAGCGATTTCAGCGATCCATTTGTATGGAAAATTTCGCGTGCGGAAGAATGAAGACAAATGTGACAGAAATAATTTACTAAATTTTATCAGCACATGCAGTGTGCTCTTAGTGTATCGATAGGAGTGTCTGTAAAATTTCTACGCCGGAGAAATCTTTTAATTTTTTTTAAATGTCCCAAATGTAATGGAATTTTTCACCTCTTATCATATTTTTTCATGTTGATAGAAGCGTGTCATGTGTCGCCGACACTCGTGGCCCGGCGTAGGTCTCGGGGCAAAGAATGACAGGTCGCATAAATGAGACTGTAATCACAGCTGGGCGTTTTATTTCCGGTTGGCAATCACACTCCCAAATTCCTATTCAGCTTTTTCTTTGTGATATGAACAATTACCCTAGTATTATGATATCACAGGCAAGTTCGTAACATACACACTAAATTCTTATGGACTTTTTAAATGCATAAAGACGCATTTTTTATGCATAGTTATGCATGCTCAGAATCGTCCATATGTTATGTATAAAATTATGCATCACTGTGTACATTTTATGCATCTTCCTGCATAAAATGTACACAGTGATGCATAATATTATGCATAACATATGGACGTTTCTGAGCATGCATAACTATGCATAAAAAAGTCCACAAGAATTTAGTGTGTACAGAGGAAGGTCCTCAGTAACCTTTTGACCACTTTCTTCATGATACACAAATAAATTTCTCAGTGTGATACTTTTGAATCGTTCAACCCTGAGAAATCGATCCGTCGGTATTATGACTGCACACGTCCCTAGTACAATTTTTGAACGAGATCTCACACTGCGCCAACGTACTTTCCGTGTGAGTTTATACGCAGCAATCGCACAAATGGACCCTCTCAGTCGTCGCCGAGTGAAGAACAAGCGTAATCAAAAAGACAGGAACCTGAAGATACGTTCCTGGCCTTAAGATTACTTTCGTCCTTCACTCAGCGACGCTGTGTGCGATTCGGCGTACAAATATGTACGAAAAAAGAAACATGCTCAAAATTGTGTAAGATCACGTGGAAAATTGAGCAATTACACTAGGCATGTAGAAAGTTGAGCACCCAGTCTTTTACAGCCAGCCCCAGTCCAGCACGCTCTGCACCGCGTCGCCGAAGCGGCGTCTCACTTCGGGCGAATCTTTGATTTTGTAGACGCCGACTTCGCTGTTCTTCGCCTCGCCGTTGTTGGTCACGTCCGCCAGGGTGTTCTGGACGTCCTTGATGGCGGAGGTGTCGGTGAAGGCGTGGACGAAGGAGGCGACCAAGCCGATGGCCATCCGGGACGCACGCTGCATGTGTTTCTGCACAAAGAAACCCAACATTTTTACCGGTACGATGCAGGCGGCTTAAGGTCGGAGCGTGCGTGGCAAGCAGAGATCCTTAGCTTAACATTTAACTAACACTGCTTTCATAACGTAACTTCAGACCATGTTCGTCAAAGGTTAAGGGTACGGGCTTTTGCAAGTACTTCCAAAAGTATCTCCACACAAATTCGAGACACAAGAAAAATAACTTATCCTTTTAAAAACAATTCAGAAGTTAAGGGTTATAACTTAAACTCGTACGATAACGTTATGATGCCCTTTTGAGGTAAGTAAAGGATCCCTGCTGGCAAGTACACGCCAGCCTAGAGCATGCCTGGCATGTGCACTCCAACCTGGTGCATGTCTGGAATGTGCACTCGAACCTATTGAGGGATCACTTAGGTGAAGGACAGGCCTCCCTATCAGCCTGCATAAAAAGCTGAGTACGCCACTCCCGTCGGAGGTTCCCCCGACCACAGATAAACTTCGGACAGCTGTTTGGCGTTCTTGCACTGAGAAAACCTTACAAACTATTTTCGGCCTTACAAAGAAAATTAGTTTGTATAACAAAGTATTTTGAGCATACGTAAGCTTACAAAGAAAATACTTCGTAATTTACGAACTATTTCTTCGTATAACAAAGTATTTTAGTTTGTTATATGTATGCTCAAAATACTTCGTAAGGTTTTAAGAGTGTGGATTTCTGGGAAGGCCGATAGAGAGCCCCAAGCGGTCTGCCACGCCGTGCCTTGCACTCATTGTAGTACGTAGCCAGTCTACCCTCGCTAAGATTTTTCCTCAGAAACGCCTCAATGTAGGCAGTTTATTAGACAAACGCCTGTAAGAAGGCAAAGACTTGACCTGAGGCCAACCTGAGGCATGGCTAAATTCAGTGGGAAACTCACTACACTGACACTTATTGTGCCAGTCAGTGGCAGACCCCTAGGACAGGCCTGTTTGAAATATACCCAGGTATCTGAAGTCACCCCCGTTGACGGTGCATACCTGGAACATGTGCCAGGGGTAGACGGAGTCGGGGTCCTCGATGCCGCCCGCCCTCAGAGTGCTCTGCAGTTCGTCGTGGTACTGCCGCATCAGCGACGCCCAGTGCTCGTCCCGCAGTTTCTTCTCCGTCGTGGTGAGCAGGATGATGGCGAGGTCCGGGGCGGGCCAGGCGTACCGAACGATCTGGAAGTCGATGAGGCAGCAGCCCACTGCCTCTCCGACCTGGAACAGACGACCGTGTCGAATTTTGATGTGTGTGTTGAGGCCTCGGTTGAGGCTGTGAACTCAACAAAATTCATCAAAAGTGGAAAAAAGGCACACTCCAGGAGCTGATGCAGGTTTTACTCCTGTTACGTATCTTACAAGCCGCGGTTTGGCGTTCCCTTGAATTCTGCATAATTATTGGCACTTTCGAAAATTGCTTCAAGGCTTAAGAGTTCATCCCCTCTCGTTTCACAATACCCAAAACTTCAAAAACTTTTCTAGGCCTTTGAAAGAAATGTAGCTTGCAAGCATGTTCTAACAAAATATTTAGAGCATGCATAAGCTTACAAAGAAAACGCTTCTTACTTTACAAACTATTTCTTCCTAACAAACTAACATGTTGTGTTGTACCTGATAACCTGATATATGCTCCAAATACTTCTTAAGGTTTCAATCGTCCAATTGAGTACAAGAAACCACGTACCTCATTCGTCTGGAAAAGGATGTTGTTTACGTGGCAGTCTCCGTGAACAACGGTGTTGCCTCCCTCCGGGTCCGGTAGAAGGTAGTCGAAAAAGTCTTCGGTGTACGTGTTGCAAATGTTGTGCAATTTTTCAATCACAGAAGCCGGAAATCTGTCTTTTATCAGGTCTGTAATGAAATAACGGTTTAGATTTCTTGAATTCAGGACATGTGCCTGTACCAAAACTTGACTTTCCCTTGTGCAAGGCTCCGTGACTTATTTAATTCCAAATCCATTTAACAGTATGTAACTCTTACGGCTAAATTTCAAACTTTAATTCTAAAGTAAAGGCATCCTCTTCATAGATTTCCAACGCTCCCAAACCTTAAACAGGATAGAGCCACTGACATTCTTAATTGAGTTGCGAAGCTGTGCGGCACTCCAATTGTTTCTACTAGGGGACTAAGTATTTCACTCGCGATACAAGTGAAGACACCGAAAAACAAAACCTGGAGAACTCTGGGTTTGATGATGCAGCCAAACACCAAACGTGTGAAGTACACGTATTTTCAGTACACTGAGCTCAAAGGTGAGAATCGAAGTTCTCGCCTCAGTAGCGGTGAGAATCAGAATTCTCGCCATAAAGTGGTGAGAAATTCTTAACTTGTTACATGACTTGCATAAACAATTCATGCCAAAATTTGGTGAGAATTGTGATTTTCACCACAAAACGTTGAGAAATATTTCTCGCTTGGTCGCGATTCTCACCCTTCAGGTTCAGGCATTGTGGCAAATCTCACCGGGAGTGTTGACGGTAGCCTTCAAGAACGGCCTCCAAACTTTTTTCAACTCCTCCAGCCAGACGGGTTCATCCACGATCTTCTTTAGTTCAGCCATGAGGTCGGGGCGTTGCTTGTCCAACACCATGCCTGCCCCGTGGAACCGCGCGAGCTGGAACGTGTTCAAATTTCAAATGCTCAAAAACCGTGTCTAAGGATGAATGGAATAGTACGAATGGAAGTTTTCGGAGTCTCGCTTTAAAATAAGCGCTGGCCATAACGTCATGTGACGCAATGTGATTTTTTTTTGCAAATGTTAATGTTATTTAATGTGCTGAAAAAATTTAATGACGTTCTAAACAGCACTGGTTTATGAACAAAGATAGTAAAAAGACAAACGTGAATTTAACGAAACTTGAGTTTTCTCAGGTTTTGCTCTTTTATTCATATTTTGGAATCTAGAATCCTTTTCTAATTTAACCATTCACCCAGTTACCCGCCAACCTGTGTTACAAGCAATCGGCACCGCTTCTCATCCAGTGTGGTGCCTCGCTCGGAGATGCCAAAGCCCTGCGGTCGCATGTCCTCCATCACGACACAAGGTGACTGTGAGCTTGAGCCCGCGGGGTATCCCCTGCACAGCGGAAAATTTAAAGTACATTGCGTGAAAAAATTTTCCCTTTTATGTCCCTGAAGCCCAAAAAGTTCCATTCTGCTGGGGCAAACACGTTCCAGCAATGTGTTTGCTTAAACGTGCAACATCACTTTTCGGGACCGACGACGTCATCTTCTGTTTTGTGTTCATGGTACCAACCTAGGCCATGGCAGAGGGTTCTTGAGGTGTGCTACCTCTTCCAAGGCAGGAAGCAGTCTGTTGTAGACGAAGATCTCTGATTTGAAGACACTCTCAATGAAATTTGACTTTTCCATGGACGCCAACGTTGCCTTGCACATGAGGCAAAGTGAGTCATTCTGGTCACAAAACAAAAAATAAATAATCACGCGGATAAGTATTAGCTCTTGCATGATAAATGAGGGCTCTAGCGTTGTAGCACTGTGGCAAAAAGCTACGGAAAATTCTGTAAACAGCTTGTTGTAATTCTCCGTAGCCCCCTTGTCAATACTCTCCGTAGGCTTTAACAGTATTTTCCGTAGGACCTTACAGTGTTCTCCGTAGGACTATACAGTCTGCCAGGTCCTACGGAGAAGACTGTGCGGTCCTACGGAGAATACTGTACGGCCCTACACTGCAAATCCAAGTGTAGGACAGGTCGACACTTTAAAGCGTAGACCAGTTTGTCCTACGCTTGCAAGTGTCGACCAGCTGTGTCCGACGCTTCGAAGTGTCGACCACACTTTGTCCAACGCCTGCATGTGTAGGACACTGTTTGCCCTACGGCAAATGACACTGAGCCCAAAAATTAACAAAATTTTCCGTACCTTTTTGCCACAGTTAGAGACAGAACACTTGACAATTTCGTACAGACACTGTGGCAAAAAGGTACGGAAAATTCTGTTAATTTTTTTGCCAGGATTCTCCGTAGCCCTCTTATCAATATTCTCCGTAGGCTCTTACAGTACCGTAAACCGGGGTAACTTGAGACAATATTTCACGTTTTTTGGACCGTGTGTCCACTCAACTTCTCTCACCAACCCGAATCCCAACTATGTTTAATTTCACATAATTACATTCGGTTTGGACCCCATGAATTTTTTGAGGGTCTTCTAAAATGAGAGTAATGGGCCTCTAAAGTTGTCTCAAGTTACCCCGTCATTTGGGGTAACTTGAGACACACTAGTTTTTACTTTGCTTTTTCACGGAAGTGGGGTTTTTGCCAGTCCATACTGATTTTCTGAGACATTTAACTTATTTTCAATGAAAAATACTACTTGTGGAATATATTAGAAGATTTTTGATCCTTATATTAAGATTTTTTTTATCAAGGTCACATTTGGTAATTTTAGGGATAACGGTACTTCAGAAGCGCAACGACTCTCCTATTTCAGATCACTAAGTACAGCGATTCTGTCATTTCACATCCAACCCTGACACCTGTTAAGATATTTTTCTTTATTTCTACGTACACAAGTCCATTCCTGCAAAGGTATATAGTCTTAGTCAATTTTTAAAATTCACTCAAAATCCTTTAACTATTTTTACAGTTGTTTTTCTTCAAAAAATCGACGGTTCTTGGGCTATAAGTTGTCCGATTTCAATAACATTTAGCTCGTTGGAAAGGTATTTAAATTCCGCATCTTTTGAGACTTCAAGATTTATTATGTCTCACCTGGTCCGTGTGTAGTTCAGAAAACACTTCAACTTTAAGCTGCATATCCACTTGGGACCCTCTACACTGTCAAAAAAAGTGACTCCCGATCAAATGCGGCTTGGTTTTGATCTGAGAATGGAGAGGTCCGTTACTTTAAACCACCCTGTAGTACAAGGAGGTGCCAGTGTCAAGTTACGCCACTCAACTTCCGTCAAATTCAATGAAATTTGGTGTCTCAAGTTACCCCGCACAGTTACCATTTTCTATAAAATTCAGTATTACCCGATGAATGATGGGTTTCCCTCAAAACCAATGCTGCATTTAGAATGTTGAAATAATAGGGTTGAAAGGTACTACAGTCATTTGGGTCTCAGCCAGACGTGTTTCGAGTACCAAGGGAGACTTGTAACACTTCTCTAGAATTGTTAAATTTACTAAAATTGAAAAATCGTTATAGATCTGACCAGTTTGGTCCTAACCCGCCGTTCACACGCTCAATCGTCTTTCCAAACAAGTATGAAAAAAAGTGCTAGGGTAGTTTTGACCTCCGAGTGTGCCGAGCCAGGTGGCAGCTCCAAAAAGGTGGAAAAGCAGAAGTGTCTCAAGTTACCCTTGCTGTCTCAAGTTACCCCGGTTTACGGTATTCTCCGTAGGGCCGCACAGTATTCTCCGTAGGACCGCACAGTCTTCTCCGTAGGACCTGGAAGACTATAGTCCTACGGAGATCACTGTAAGGTCCTACGGAGAATACTGTGCGGTCCTACGGAAAATACTGTAAGAGCCTACGGAGAATATTGACAAGAGGGCTACGGAGAATTGCCACAAGCTGTTTACAGAATTTTCCGTAGCTTTATGCCACAGTGGAAACGGATGGAGAGTCGGTACTTTGAGGTAGGTTAATTCTCGAGTGACTTTCAACATTAAGCGAGAAAAATAATTTGCAAACCTACATTTTCGGTTTCAGTAAACAATTCTAGGAAAGGGAGGGGGGGTCACACGTAGTGCACTACAGGCCGTGAGTTCATGCACAAGCGGCCCGATGACGGGAAAAGGGAGGGAATATGATGATGAAGATACAGGCTTCCAACCGGAATGGGCTCTGCTCAGCAATTATTGCAACTCCCACTGCCATCTTACCTCGTTCTGTATGACAATGCGGAACAGCACGCTCAGATATCCATCACCGTCGTTTGACCCCTGCTCGATGTGAAACCTGTGCCGCCAAGCAGAATTAATGAGAACGACCCGGCTTCAGTGCCCATCTAACGTGGAATTTTTTTCGAAGCCTGCTGCTTG